ATTTTTGAGAAAGCAATCATGCTGGGGGTCTGGCTCTCGAAGATTCGGGAAGCAGTGTCTCTTCGATTTTTGAGAAAGTAATCATGTTGGGAGTCTGGCTCTCGAGATTCGGAGGGCGGTGCCTCTTCGATTTTGGAGCAAGCAATCTTGTTGGGAGTGTTTTCTCGAATGTGAGTAAAGGTTGGGCATGTTTGCTAGTCTACCTTGCCACGAAGCACAGAGGTTGACACACAGGGACTTTTCCAATTATCCAGCAATGGTACTGTTCCTTTACCCTCTCTTCGATTTTTAAGAAAGTAGTCATGTTGGGAGTCTGGCTCTCGAGATTTGGAGGACGGTGCCTCTTCGATTTTGGAGCAAGCAATCTTATTGGGAGTGTTTTCTCGAATGTGAGTAAAGGTTGGGCATGTTTGCTAGTCTACCTTGCCACGAAGCACAGAGGTTGACACACAGGGACTTTCCAATTATCCAGCAGTGGTACTGTTCCTTTACCCTTGTGGGTAATAATATGGTAGCTAGACCTTCAAAATTTATGGGTCTAAACTTTGTTCGTGTTGTTTCTTTGCTATTCTTTTACCCTTCTTGGTCAGAGCGATGTAGTGGGAGCTGCAAGCTTCACGTGCTCAACTTTGGCAGAGAACTTTGGCAAAGTTATCTGTGGTACCCGTGAGCTATTGTTGCGTGTGGGAAGTGGGTGATTGAACAGTAAGATTCATGTGTTTTCTACTTCCCCAGAAGTCTTCGACAGAATGCCCATAATTTCCGCAAAGCTGAGTGTGCGTGTGTGACAGGTGCTGACAAGGCTGGAAAAGTAGGTGCCTCTTCGATTTCTGAGATCGGCCCTCGTGGTCTCTGGGGAGCCCAGCTTTTGAGAAAGCGAGCGCCTCTTCGATTTCTGAGATCGGCCTTCGTGGTCTTTGAGCAGCCCAACTTTTGAGAAAGCAAACGCCTCTTCGATTTCTGAGATCAACCCTCGTGATCTCTAAGCAGCCCAACTTTTGAGAAAGCAAACGCCTCTTCGATTTCTGAGCAGGCGCCTCTTCGATTTCTGAAGCTCCGTCGAGTGCAGATTTTTATAGGGGCTGGCATTAAGTTCCAAAGCACACTTGAATCTCCACCAGTAGAAGCTTCATTCTTGCACTTCGAAGATCTTGATTTGTCCGACCTCTTCTCTCTTCAACACCTTTGAAAATGTCTGGCCCCTCCGACCGTCGTTTTGACTTGAACCTTGTTGAAGAGGCAGCCCCGCCTTCTCCAGACAACATATGGCGCCCATCCTTCGTCTCCCTTACTGGTCCTCTTACCGTTGGGGATTCCGTGATGAAGAATGATATGACCGCTGCGGTGGTGGCCAGGAACCTTCTCACTCCCAAAGATAACAGACTACTTTCCAAACGGTCTGATGAGTTAGCTGTTAAGGATTCGCTGGCTCTCAGTGTTCAGTGTGCAGGTTCTGTGTCTAATATGGCCCAAGCCTATTTGCTCGAACCCGCCAAGTTGAGTCATTGGCGGCTGAAGTGATGAGTCTCAAACAGGAGATTAGGGGGCTCAAGCATGAGAATAAACAGTTGCACCGGCTTGCACATGACTATGCTACAAACATGAAGAGGAATAGCATTACTATGAATTTACTCAATTTTATGTACAAAGGATTGGCATACCTAAACACAGCAAGTATTGAAGGATCAGCCAATACATCTCCACTTGTAGACACCATAACAGGGTCAACCACTAAAGCTGCCTTCAATGATATTACCAATTCATTAAAAATGCTAATTTAGTAAAAAAAAAAAAAGGTCGTACCCAGTGCACAAGGCTCCCGCTTTATGCAGGGTCTGGGAGAGGTGAATGTCGGCTAGCCTTACCCCCATTTATGGAGAGGCTGCTCCCAAGTTTTAATAGCATTTAGTAACATTAGAAAATAAATGTTCAATTTTTAATAGGACTGCATACCTCGAACAGGATACACCTGAAGTTGTTGATGAAGAATCTTAACGATGCCAATAGAAGGTAACATCCCAGTTTTCACCTAATAATGACATATCATGAGCAGCTCAAAACCAATTTAGTATCAATACCACTTCTTGATAAAAACAAGTTTGCAAAAGAGGCATGCCTCAAGTACAGAGGAAGTGAAAGCTGACATTTTTATAATAGCATTTTAAATAACATTTATGACACTAAGATTAAACTCTTAGCCAAATACAGACAGAGTGAAGTAGATTACAACTCAATTCATGAAAAGTTCTTGCTCTGAAAATGCTTAAGTTATTAGTTTACAGATTCAACCAGAGAATATAAACACTACGAATATGATCAAAAATTCAAATTTGTGATTCAGCAAAAGAATATTATAATCAACAATTCAACATCCGGTGAAACTCATTGCACTCATTCTGCAGAATCCAGAATTACGCAGAAATCCAAAGATAAAACATATAAGCTTCTCTGCATCAAACATGCACTTATTTGCATCCATTCAAAATAAGTTATGCTTTTCTTCAGTGGAACCAACATGCTTTTTAATGCAATTTCATATTTGTTGATGTCTCGATTTACTACATAGACATGACCAGACACATACACACATGTCAACAAGCCGGCCAGTCATAGAATTGAATGATCATTGGGTCTAATTTCCAGCTCAAGTTTACCATACTATTTGAGACTTGTTTCATTTGCAGTTCTCTGTTATCAGGCCAGTTCTGTTTGATACCAAAATAAGATGAATACAGAAAGATGACATGGAATCTGAAACCCCTATGCTTGAAGTGAATATTTTCTCAAGAACACATGCACTGAGCTGCAAGTAGAAAATGGATATCTAGTCTGCTTTGAAGAACAAAGAAAAATAGGCTCCAGTTACAATAATCCATTAGCTACTTATGACATATAGATTAACTTTTATCTAATATCTATATAACTAATCTAACATCTATACTAATCAATTAATAAAAACTAATCAATTCTATAAGTTCATGATGATGGTCAGTCAAACATATGTCATTGTACCAGAATGGTTGATTTCACAGATGACCTGGTGGACCTGTGACCTAGGTTCTTTACAAGCTACAACGACTCGTGTTTTATTGTTTAAACACCATGTTAAAGGAATACAACACGAGACTTTGACTTATAATGGCTCGTGTTTTTTTACAAACTTTGACTTACCACATCGACATCCATATCAGATAGCACAGACTTCATCTGCTCAGCAACAAAATCCTCAGGCACAATGTTTACACCCTAGCAATCAAATAAAAAGAACGATAACGATTACCACTAGAAACATTTTTCTTTTCCATTTTTTATGTTATGCTTTCTCAGCAACCAAACAGAACACAGCCCATGGAAATTGAAAAACAACATCAAATAACAACCTGAACGCCAACAGTGTTTTGTGCAGTAACAGCGGTTATGACAGTAGAGCAGTACACTCCGCGAGCAGCACAAGCCTTAAGATCAGCTTGGATTCCAGCACCGGCACCGGAATCGGAGCCAGCAACAGTCAGTACAAGTGGAATCTTAACTGCAGAGTGGTCACTTGTCATTGGACCTCCACTTCCCCGCATCTCCATTGAAGCTCTCGATTGCTTGCCTCGGCTGATTCTCGAATTCACCAAAAAGCTCAAACCTTTTGATTGCCTGAACTCTGGGAGCACAGCCTGGTCATGATATAGCGCCAAACAATTGAAATTATGAGTGCAACCCAGAAATGCAACAGCCATGGCAACACAGCAGCAGTGATAGAAAATGCAACAGATATTGAAACCTAATTGGATCAATTATTCGAACAAATAAATAAATTGACAGTAAATTGGAAAAGCAGAAGAGTAAAGAATTTTGACGTTGATTGATTGATATCTTGGTCTTCCGTTTTGATTACCTCTGGTATTTTTCTCGACAACCAAACAGTAAATTGGAAAAGGGGAAAGTGGGAAGAGGTTACCTTGTTGAAGGAGAGGAAGGGGAGAGAGGTGGAGAGAAAGTGAGCCTCGTTTGCCATGAAATTTGGCGATGATGATTCCTTCTTTGACACGGGCTGGGTACAGACTACAGTTGGTAGCCTTAAACCCAGTTTTACCGTACGGTTGTTAATGGTTGCATTATTTTATTTACCATTACCATTAAAAAAATAAGTAGCTTATAACTTAATTAGTTAAAGAAAACTAATGAAAAATATTTGAAAACTTTGAGTTAAATAGTATCAAGTTTGACTTTTTTGTGTCAAAATATAGTTTTCCGTTAAAGTGAATAGTACGACGGAGTTTTCGTTAAAACTCCCGTTAGTTAATAGAGTTCGTACATGCATTCGTACATGCATTCGAGGTCAGATGTTAAATTCCTCTCATAATTTAAGTTCTTTTTTTTTCTTCTGGACAAATGATATTATCTACATTAAATGGTGAGTAGGAGAGTGGGTTAAAACTCTCCCTAAACTAACAATAATGTTGTTTGAATTCTGCTTTTGGTGAAAATCAAAGACTTCCCATAATTTAAGTTAATTTAGTTGAATTGTCACTTATTACTACGGTTTTGTAGTAATTCTTAAGTGTAAATAATATGTTTTTAAAAATTAATAATTGAATTATCTTATCATGTGTAAAACAAATAAAATAAAGATTACATTAAAAAATAATCTTTAGAGGAAAAAACAAAAAAGGTTCAAGCAGAAAACTCAGAGTTCGTTTGGATGTACTTTTAAAATGACTGAAAGCGCTTTTAGTGAAAATATTTTTGAAACCAAAAAATGAAAGTAAATTCTAGAAAACCATCTAAAGTGCTTCTTACAGAAAGCACTTAAGTGCTTTTAGAACAAAAAAACATTTTATCTAAAAATACTTTCATGATTTTAAAAAGGGAGTTTTAACAAGACACTTACAGTACTGTTCACTTTTAACGAAAAATTATATTTTTACCTTTAACTGACACTATTCACTATACCTTTAAAAATAATTTTTCATTAGAAAAAGATTTTTTTTGAATTTTTCGTTAGTAATCTTTTAAAAAAAAAAAACATATCCAAACGAGCCGCCCAATCTTCTCCTACAACCCGATAGTGTGAAGTGCAGCAGCCAGCCACTGCCACTCCTCCAATCCCCCTCCTCAGACTCCTCCGCACTATCAGCCAGCCATTGTTGCCGCATGTAACTTCACTTCATGTGAGTTCTTCCCCCTCCTTCTTCTTCTTCTCCTCTTTCCCCACCCTCTGCAAATTTTGCTCTTCTCTTCTTCTTCTTTTAAGTTATAATTCACTTTCTGATTCGATTTCTTTAAATTAGGGATTTAGGGATTTTAGCAAGTTAGGAATTTAGTGTTTTTCTTCATGGGAAGTCTGGAGTTAACCTTTTGGAGTTTTGGGTCTGCCTTAAAAAGTGCCCTCCAACTGTCCGATAAAATGCCTCAATGGGGCGTCCGGCTTGTGCTGCGCGCTTCTGCCTATTCCTTGCGCAAGTTGTGGCACGGTGCGCACGCCGCAGCCTTCCTTAAAAGAAACTAGTCTAGTGCATTCATAAAACAACTAGTGTTTATCAAAAAACAGAAGACTATGTCAACTTTCCTACATGAGAAATGAATTGAAATCCTTACATATTGTATACTTATCACGGACAGACTTGGTTTTTTAGAAACAGTGATATAAATTATGGACATGGTTTTGGTTAAGTTTATTTGTTTGATACGTTCGTTATTAATGTATTTAACAATTTCTAATGTTCTATTCAAACTTTTCAAGGTTTGGAGCAAATTTCCATCATTTCAGTTTTAGAGCTCTATTTGTTGATACACTCTATTATTATGATTGTGGGGACTGTTTGTTGCTATGGTTGATAAGAAATATTAATGCGACCTGTTCAAAAAGCGTCCTTGTGGACAATGCTTGTAAGGTTTTTTCTTCTTATAAAAATCGAGAACTTTTTACACATTGACCCGTAGGAGAAAAATTCCTGGATCCGCCACTGGTTGTAGCTGATGCCCTGCTTCTGTTTAGGCTTGGTCTCAGTTTTGGCTTTTGAATATAACCTATATAGGCTTTTACTTGATTTTAAAATTCACTCGTCGTTTTGTTTTAGATTTCAGCCTTTTGATCATATAACAAAGGAGATGATGGCAAAATTTTGACCGAATCTTTCAACTAAGATAGATGGCTGGGTGCCAAAGAGTCATTGTTTAGAGAGATGCATTCGAGTTTGAAGGTTTTGAGAGGTGGGTTTCCTGGCTTCTTGCTAGTTCTTCATTCACTTCCACCGGAAGTAGTGGCATCGGCATCATTACGTCTTGGCATATCATTTTTCATTGAAAGTGACCTAAGTTCAGAGGGAAGATTGGTGGTTTACTCTTGATTATGACTATATATGAAATTAAGAAAAAGTGTAAATGGTTCTGAAGATCTCTCTTTTTTTTGCAGGAATTTAAGAATGGCTGCAGCCACCACTTCAAGGGCCTTTCTCTACTCCCATTACTACCGTAGTCTCCCATTCTTCTTTCCTCCTTTCAGTACTGCGTCTGGGTTACCCACCCTTCGTCATAATAACTTGAGGAATCCAAACGTTCTCTCTACTGTCAAGTGTTTTCGGTCCTCGTCTGGGCGTCCAAATGTGGTTGAAATTCTTGAAGAGAGAGGGTTGCTTGAATCCCTTACCAGCGAGCATCTAAGGCAAGTGTGCACCGACCCCAATTTACCTCCTCTCAAAGTCTATTGTGGCTTCGACCCAACTGCCGAATCCTTGCACTTGGGTAACCTTATTGGAATTGTCGTCCTCTCATGGTTCCAGAGATGTGGCCATCACCCCGTAGCTTTGATTGGTGGTGCCACCGCTCGTGTTGGAGACCCTTCTGGCAAGAGCTTGGAGAGACCTGAGCTCGACCTTGACACTCTGTCCCGAAACACCTCAGGAGTTACCAATACAATTATGAGAATTCTGGGTGGGGTTTCCGTCTTGAACAATTATGATTGGTGGAAAGAGGTTCGGTTGTTAGAGTTTCTCAAAGATGTGGGTCGATATGCAAGAGTGGGGAGCATGATCGCAAAGGAGAGTGTGAAGAAGAGGTTGGAGTCAGAACAAGGAATGAGCTATACTGAATTCACATACCAGTTATTGCAGGGCTATGATTTCCTACACCTCTTCCGCAATGAAGGTATTAATGTTCAGATTGGAGGTAGCGATCAATGGGGGAATATAACTGCAGGGACTGAACTCATACGCAAGATTCTCCGTGTGGATGCTGCTGCTTATGGCTTGACGTTTCCTCTTCTACTGAAGAGTGATGGAACCAAATTCGGCAAGTCCGAAGATGGTGCCATATGGCTTTCGCCATCCATGTTGTCTCCCTATAAGTTGTACCAGTATTTGTTCTCTGTTCCTGATGTTGATGTGGTCAGGTTTCTCAAGATTCTCACTTTCTTGGACATGGATGACATCAAACAGTTGGAGAGTGAGATGAAGAGACCTGGATACTTGCCCAACACAGCTCAGCGCAGGCTTGCTGAGGAGGTCACCCGTTTTGTGCATGGTCAAGATGGTCTAGATGAGGCCCTCAAGGCAACTGAAGCAATGAGGCCTGGTGCTGATTCTAAATTGGACTGGAACACCATTAAAGCCATTTCTGAGGATGTCCCCTCCTGCTCTTTCCCTTATCATCAGGTCCTCGATCTCTCTCTTGTTGATCTCTCAGTTTCATCTGGTTTGCTTGACAGCAAATCTGCTGCCCGGCGTCTGTTGAAGCAAGGGGGGCTTTACTTGAACAACTCCAGAGTTGATAGTGAAAATAAGAGAATTGAACCTCAAGACATTGTGGACGGAAAACTTCTCCTTTTATCTGCAGGCAAGAAGAATAAGGTTCTGGTACAGATAAGCGACACGTGAGGGATGCCTGCCTGATGGTAATTATCCACGAAACCTTTACGATTCAAAGTGTGTGTAGTACAAACTCATTTCTTCGACCTAGGGTTAGCTCTTCAAAGCTCCGTACATATACTGACGATGTTGACTCTTTATGTCTCTGAAATGCAGCGGATACTCGGTGTGATCTGTGTACTCATCGCACAAATCTTCCTGCCTTAAAGATGACATTATTCACGGTGGTTCTTGAAGGCTAATGCCCTTGAGCTTTGAGGCTTAAACGCAAATGTTTTCCCTCCGCTATTTAGATGATTTTGTTTGTGTCTCGTAATTAATTTGGTCCTTGGTTAGTATCATATTGATTGATCTATTCTTTTACGTAAATTCGAGACGTCGATCTAATTTGACGAGTGCCTCGTAGACTTATTCCTACGCTGTATCTAATCCAACAACGTAGAGTCTTCAAACTACTAACTAATTTTTATACCAAACAAACACTCTAAGCCCTGGCTTGGTGCTAAGGTGATTTTGAAAAAAGTGGCTATAAAAAAAAACTGGGAGCTTTTTTATGTTTGTTAAACATTCAGCTTCAGTTTTTTTTCACATCTGTTTTACATAAAAGTTTATCAAACACTACAATATTGCTTTGTTTTTCAAAAGCACTTTTACAAAAAAGTTTACTAAACACTCTACTGCTTTATTTCACATATGTTTATTCTCACAGCACAGCAGAAGCAGTTTTTTTTCAAAGCACAGCAATACCAAACCAGCCCTAAGTTGGCTCTCTCCAATTTTGCTCCCTCCAAGTTACAATCTTCCAAGCATGCACGTGTTAGCCAAGCTTCCTCCACATCGGCGCAAACGAGAGAAGCTCCGTTGAGATTCGGCGCAGTAAACTCGTATACTCTTTCAAATGCGCTTAAATTGGGTGGTTGTTAGCTGAGAAGCAGATGCTGAATCTGCTTCTTAGTTAATAACGAATTGCTCAAGTCTAATTTCGAAAGATTAAGGCCGTGAAGATTAACACCGCCAAGCGCGATTCATTCTCCCTAAGAAGAATTGAATTTTGGAATGATCTTGAAAGTGTGATTTTAACATCTCTAATATTTTTTTAAATTAAAAAATATACACTAAATATACATTTTAACATCTCTATATTTTTTACTTTTTTTTTACTTTTTGCTCAATAAATCGTAAATTCGCTTTCATACATTATAAATATTTCTTTAACAAGGTTTCTTGTCAAAAACTCCGCCTATGTCTTACATGGCCGGAGCAAAGTTTCTTGTCAAAAACTTTATACATATCCTTTATTTCTTTAACAAGGTTTCTTGTTAAAGAAATAAAGGATATGTATAAGGTTTTTTTGACAAGAAACGAGTACGAGTAGCATATATCCAAGCTATAAAGGATATGTATGAAGGAGCAAAGACTGCCGTAAGAACTCATGAAGGACAAACCGAAAGCTTTCCCATAACTGTAGGATTACATCAAGGCTCATCCTTAAGTCCTTACCTTTTTGCGTTGGTAATGGATGAGTTAACACGACATATTCAAGATGATATTCCTTGGTGTATGCTTTTCGCAGACGATATAGTGTTGATAGATGAAACTCAGGAAGGGGTAAATGCAAAGCTTAACCTTTGGAGAGAAGTGTTGGAATCTAAAGGTCTTCGCCTAAGCCGATCAAAGACAGAATATATGGAGTGCAAGTTCAGTGCAAATGGAGGCCAAAACGAGTTAGGGGTGAGGATCGGAGATCAAGAAATACCAAAGAGCGACCGTTTTCGTTACCTAGGATCTATCTTGCAAAAGAACGAAGAATTAGATGGAGATCTCAACCATAGAATACAAGCTGGATGGATGAAGTGGAAGAGTGCATCCGGCGTGTTGTGTGACCGCCGTATGCCACTGAAGCTCAAGGGAAAATTTTATAGGACGGCAATAAGGCCGGCGATGCTGTATGGCACAGAATGTTGGGCGGTGAAACATCAACACGTACACAAAATGGGTGTAGCGGAGATGAGGATGCTTCGTTGGATGTGTGGGCACACGAGAAAGGATAAGATTAGGAATGAGGATATCCGGGGTAAAGTAGGAGTAGCCGAAATTGAAGGAAAGATGAGAGAAAATCGGTTACGGTGGTTTGGACATGTGCAAAGAAGGCCTACTGACGTTCCGATTAGAAGATGCGACTATGGGACAGAGGTTCAGGGCCGAAGGGGTAGAGGAAGACCTAGGAAAACTTTGGAAGAGACTCTAAGAAAAGACTTAGAGTACTTGGATCTAACGAAGGACATGACACATGATCGAGCACAATGGCGTTCTAAGATTCATATAGCCGATCCCACTCAGTGACTTGGATTTTCCAAGTCTCCAACCGAGAAGTTTTCATCACTCGGGAAATTAAGGGAACACTACCCCAACCTACATGCTCCACTCAGAAAGCTTCAACATACAAGCTTTAACAAAAGAAAATTCAAAGAACTTAGCGAAGAAGGCTTTGGTGTATTTAACACAATACGTTGAAATGAAGGAAAGCTTATTTATTGATATCCCCGATAAGCTACAAATATGTACATATACATGAGTCAAAATAAGCACACAAGAGGGAGCCTTCACAAAGGTTGCTTAGGAGAAGTCTCAGCAGTCGGTAGAGCCCCAGAAAGAGAAGGCACCGGAGGGGGATCATTTGGAGCCTCAGTACTGGACAGAACCCTAGAAGGAGGAGGCATCAGAGGTTGATCATTTGGAGCTTTATTACGCAGTACAGCCCCAGAAGACGAAGGCAATAAATGCCTTTGGAACAAACCCACAAATCTCTGATGATCAAGTAAAACCTGACCATCAGTTTCCTTCATCTGGTCAAGCTTCCTTTTCATGTTTGTAGCATAGTCATGTGCGAGCCGGTGCAACTGTTTATTCTCATGCTTGAGCCCTCTAATCTCCTGTTTGAGACTCATCACTTCAGCCGCCAATGATTCAACTTGGCGGGTTCGAGCAAATAGGCGTTGGGCCATATTAGACACAGAACCTGCACACTGAACTGAACACTGAGAGCCAGCGAATCCTTAACAGCTAACTCATCAGACCGTTTGGAAAGTAGTCTGTTATCTTTGGGAGTGAGAAGGTTCCTGGCCACCACCGCAGCGGTCATATCATTCTTCATCACGGAATCCCCAACGGTAAGAGGACCAGTAGGGGAGACGAAGGATGGGCGCCATATGTTGTCTGGAGAAGGCGGGGCTGCCTCTTCAACAAGGTTCAAGTCAAAACGACGGTCGGAGGGGCCAGACATTTTCAAAGGTGTTGAAGAGAGAAGAGGTCGGACAAATCAAGATCTTAGAAGTGCAAGAATGAAGCTTCTACTGGTGGAGATTTAAGTGTGCTTTGGAACTTAATGCCAGCCCCTATAAAAATCTGCACTCGACGAAGCTTCAGAAATCGAAGAGGCGCCTGTTCAGAAAATCGAAGAGGCGTTTGCTTTCTCAAAAGCTGGGCTGCTTAGAGATCACGAGGGTTGATCTCAGAAATCGAAGAGGCGTTTGCTTTCTCAAAAGTTGGGCTGCTCAAAGACCACGAAGGCCGATCTCAAAAATCGAAGAGGCGCTCGCTTTCTCAAAAGCTGGGCTCCCCAGAGACCACGAGGGCCGATCTCAGAAATCGAAGAGGCACCTACTTTTCCAGCCTTTTCCAGCCTTGTCAGCACCTGTCACACGCACACTCAGTTTTGCGGAAATTATGGGCATTCTGTCAAAGACTCCTGGGGAAGTAGAAAACACATGAATCTTACTGTTCAATCACCCACTTCCCACACGCAACAATAGCTCATGGGTACCACAGATAACTTTGCCAAAGTTCTCTGCCAAAGTTGAGCACGTGAAGCTTGCAGCTCCCACTACATCGCTCTGACCAAGAAGGGTAAAAGAATAGCAAAGAAACAGCACTAACAAAGTTTAGACCCATAAATTTTGAAGGTCTAGCTACCATATTATTACCCACAAGGGTAAAGGAACAGTACCACTGCTGGATAATTGGAAAGTCCCTGTGTGTCAACCTCTGTGCTTCGTGGCAAGGTAGACTAGCAAACATGCCCAACCTTTACTCACATTCGAGAAAACACTCCCAATAAGATTGCTTGCTCCAAAATCGAAGAGGCACCGTCCTCCGAATCTCGAGAGCCAGACTCCCAACATGACTACTTTCTTAAAAATCGAAGAGAGGGTAAAGGAACAGTACCATTGCTGGATAATTGGAAAGTCCCTGTGTGTCAACCTCTATGCTTCGTGGCAAGGTAGACTAGCAAACATGCCCAACCTTTACTCACATTCGAGAAAACACTCCCAACAAGATTGCTTGCTCCAAAATCGAAGAGGCACCGCCCTCCGAATCTCGAGAGCCAGACCCCCAGCATGATTGCTGTCTCAAAAATCGATGAGGCATCGTTCTCCGAATCAATCGAAGAGGCGCTCGCTTTCTCAAAAGCTGGGCTGCTCAGAGACCACGAGGGCCGATCTCAGAAATCGAAGATGCACCTACTTTTCTAGCCTTGTCAGCACCTGTCACACGCACACTCAGCTTTGCAGAAATTATGGGCATTCTGTCGAAGACTTCTGGTGAAGTAGAAAGCACATGAATCTTACTGTTCAATCACCCACTTCCCACACGCAACAATAGCTCATGGGTACCACAAATAACTTTGCCAAAGTTCTCTGCCAAAGTTGAGCACGTGAAGCTTGCAGCTCCCACTACATCGCTCTGACCAAAAAAGGTAAAAGAATAGCAAAGAAACAACACTAACAAAAGTTTAGACACATAAATTTTGAAGGTCTAGCTACCATATTATTACCCACAACTGTAAAGGAACAGTACCACTGCTGGATAATTGGAAAGTCCCTGTGTGTCAACCTCTGTGCTTCGTGGCAAGGTAGACTAGCAAACATGCCCAACCTTTACTCACATTCGAGAAAACACTCCCAATAAGATTGCTTGCTCCAAAATCGAAGAGGCACCGTCCTCCGAATCTCGAGAGCCAGACTCCCAACATGACTACTTTCTCAAAATTGAAGAGAGGGTAAAGGAACAGTACCATTGCTGGATAATTGGAAAGTCCCTGTGTGTCAACCTTTGTGCTTCGTGGCAAGGTAGACTAGCAAACATGCCCAACCTTTACTCACATTCGAGACAACACTCCCAACAAGATTGCTTGCTCCAAAATCGAAGAGGCACCGCCCTCCGAATCTCGAGAGCCAGACTCCCAACATGATTACTTCCTCAAAAATCGAAGAGACACTGCTCTCCGAATCTCGAGAGTCATACCCCCAGCATGATTGCTTTCTCAAAAATCGAAGAGGCATCGTTCTCCGAATCTCGAGAGCCAGATACCACAGACCACTTTTTCAAAGTGCTCTGACAGAGTTAAAACA